CCACCACCACCACTACCACCACAATAGCAATGTGAAACGTGAAACCTGCGGGGCCCAGCCTCCGCTTTCTGCATGGTCTTGAGTGCATAGACATCATCGGTTCCCTGCATCATGCCAAGACGTAGGACCGTTGCAAAGCCAGAAACTCCCGGAGAGTCTCATGAGATAAGACTTCCTTGATTGCTGGCGGTCATGAATCAGAATCACTGAACGGAAAAATGGCGGGCCTTGCGTCGGATGCGCCGTACCACACCAAAGGATCCTTTGCCCAAGGAACGGCCTCCAAAAAGAAGGGTGTAATGGAATGCCTGTCTCTTTACGCGTGGCATCTACAGCAAGCTGCGTCCTCCTTGCCCATCCATCATCTCAAAGTCTGAGAGCCTCACCTTGAAACACAGGAATGTCTTAGTGAGACAGTCACGTTTCCGAAGCAGCTGTATAGATGGTGCAACTGTCAGCTTTTTCTGTGCTCTGCACACGCTAGTACCTCTAGCACGACCTTCTTGCACGTTCTGCCCTCAACGGCACAACGAGGAATCTTGCTGTGTCCCAGCCTTGTCGCGCTCTTGACGAGCTGCAAATGCAACGAATTCGGTCAAGTTGTCCAAGGCATCTATCTCATACTTTAGCCCTTGTCTGGACAGCTCGTTGAGACCTTGCATATAGGGATGAAGGATATCGTCACCTGAGCCAACTTCTTTCAGTCGCTTCCGTAACCCTCCCATCTTGGCGGTGTCAGCTTTTGTCAATGGTAGGACGTCGCTTCTTCGAAGCCCAAATCGAGAAGCCCCTTCAACACCTCCAGCACAAAGCAAAGGAACTGCCTCCGGCATTGTTAGGTCGTCCTGAAACCATGCGCCCTTCTGGGGGCCAAAGGCATAAGTTGCAGCAATCCATAGACCAGAAGGGTCAAAATCAACCAAGACAAAGAACTTGGGATTAGCACAGGCTTGCTTCAAATGGCGGAGGAAGTACCGAGTTGGGACGTCAGGAAAACCCCGGGCTGTCACGACAATGCAAGGCTTGTGCTTCTCCAAGAAACCCTCGTCCAAGAGTCGGTGAAACACGGTTTCCTTCTCCACGATGAACACATGCTCCGCCATTGTTTCCACCCTGAGTACATGTGCACAAATCGGTGAAATCGAGTGGCCTCGTGGCTCCAGTGGGTCCATTCCATCCACCCACACAGACTCGCCCGACTGGCCAGCAGGTCGAGGCTCCAAGATTCGCAGGTGACCTCGCACGAGGCCCTTGGCCGTTCCGACAAGGCGCAGATAGTGCCGGGGCACTGCAAGCGTCTGGCAAAGTCTCTTCAACATATCATCACTCAGTTGCTGTCTTGAGAATAGTGGCACATGTCCTTGGCAAGCATGTCAAAAACTGGAAAACAAAGGTCTTAGCATACAAAATAAACAAACCACTCCAGAAATCGCTACTGGGAGCACAAGTGTCGATAGTAGAGTTCCCGGCAGGTGGCATGTCGCCCAGAACTCAGGAGGCCATGCACGGAATCCAGCAGAGCCAAGAGGCGTCGTGCCCGAAGCAGCTGTCTTGCGCTGCGTGGCCGCAGCGTCGTGGACTCTGGCACAAAGCCCAGCAGCGATTCCAGCTGGGAAGCCAGGCGTCGTCCACGGTCAGGCTGCTGTGCAAGCAGAGTTGGCTGAGCTGCTGAATCCTGACAGTCCTGACCCTGAACACGCCTTTTAAGGCGCCAAAGGACCTGAAGCACTCCAAGCTCAATGGACCGATGCAACTCTTCCCGTACCGATTCTGGGCCCCAAGGCAAGGCAGAGGCCACGGCTTGCACCATCGGCTCTGACACAGAAGAATTTGTGATTGCTCGAGCAACACAGCTGGAAAGGAAGATTCAGTCCAAGCCATCGAGCAAATGTCCGCAAACTGCTTCTTGGAGATCTACTGCGGACTGAAGCCAGCAAGTCCCTGGCATCTTCTGGCGGAGACCGCGATCTTGGAGTCTTCTTAGCCTCATCTCTGAAACGCTCTTCAGCGGAAGTGACTTGGACCCTACCCTGAGACCATGAACATTCTGACGATCATTACTAGCCTTATTGTTACTCCTCTAAAAATAACTGTTGTTCATGAATACAACTATCATTGATGATGTCCATACTATCATCTGAGGAGGGAGCCCCAATGGTCTGCACCGGTGGCCAGTACGCAGAATTCATCTGCCTATGCTGCATCAGGTCTCATGCTGGAACTTATTGGTTTAGTGTTTTTTTTGCAACACCCTTTTCCATCTGCATGGAAAGCCTACTTAGGCAGGCGTAACGAAGTGTCCCACATCAACCTTCAACTCAAAGCCGCTACATCAGCCTTCTCAGGGAGTCAGGCACTACAAAAGTGTGGTACGGGTACGGCCACTCAGAGGCCCTCCCGAATGGCACGAGACCATGGAAAAGCCCTTGCATCATCAAGACCAAGCAGCGGGGCCCGGTCAAGAAAATCCCTTACCAGACAGTTCCTAGCCATGCACAACTACTCAGTAGATGGGTGGTTGTCAAAATTATGGTCCCGTTTTGGGTACCCTAAATATCAGGTGCCTTATTATAATAGGGATCCAAAAAGGGCCCATAATTGTGACAACCACCCAGATCTTGCGGCGCGCAACCTTACCATACTGGCCCTCAGTCCCCACCACCCATCGCCGCGCCCTCTTGACCTTCACCTTCCCAAAGACGACCATCACGCAGCACATCATCAGCGGCAGTAACAGGTCCACCAGGCGAAAGTTTAGGGTTTAGGGTTTAGGTTAACGGTTTAGGGTTTAAGGGCATTTACCCTAACCCTTTTCCTCGATGACTCATACTGTGGTTCTTTGCCCTGCATCTACTTGAGATCTTATCCCCAAACCTCAAAACTTGGAGGGTCAGGGGGACTTAGTAAGTAGGTTAATAATCCCTATAACCCATATAATAACCCTCGTTATCCCCGTTATTCACCCACTTACTAAGTTCCCCTGACCCTCCAAGAACTCTACCTTGACCTTATGCCTAAACCGTAGGTCTAGGCCCAAGACATACCTAAATCCTGTACCAAAAATCCTTGACCAACTTAGATCTTGTTATATTATGAATAATAGTAGGCATAAACATAGGAATAATAATAATGATACCAATAATAATGGTATATATAAGAATGAAAATACAAGTTTATTGAAAGCAATCATGCTCATTGATATTAGTTAAGAATACTTAGGATTAGTGATAATGACAATGTTAGAAACAAAAATGTCGGTAAAAAAACATCGAGCATAGTAATATTGATAGTAATAATAATGATAATAACAAACATAGTATTCAGAAGATTAATAACAACAATCTTAGAAATATAAACATGAATAGTCGTGCTCGTGATATTAGGCAATAAGAATCTCACTGCTTTTCATTATGACAAAAATCTAAATACAATAATCTTACAAGTCATAATTAACCCTATGCCCTACACCCGAAACTCTAAATCCTGAACCCGAAGCCCTAAATCCTTAAATCCTAAACCCTAAACTAGGCAGGCTTGGCCTGGCATTTTGAAGCGGCGGCACCTGGCTCGGCTGCCCACGCAGTAAGCAACTAGAAACCCGACAGAAGCCCTGGTTTAGGGTTAGGGTTTAGGGTCTAGGGTTTAGGGTTTGAAGTGTTTGGTGTTTAGCTTTTGGAGTTTAGGGTTTGAATAGGGTTTAGGGTTTAGAGGGCTTGGTGCTTTGATTCTGGGGTTCAAAGAGGGTTGCGGTTTAGGGTTTGGGGTTAGGGGCTTAGAGGTTAAAAGCTTCCCTCTCTAATAGCTCGTTTTTATTCATTCCACAACCCCTGCTTTTCCTTCATTATGCCACTCGTCTGTGCCTGCACGGGATGCAGGACTTGTACTCTCTGCATGTCCTTGCCATGCAAGAGCGAAGCAGAGGCATTTGCAAGGGGGGCATGATGTAAAGCACAGTGACTGAGCCCCACACGCACCCTGACCTCACCTTGCAGGCTACAAGAGACCCTACAGTACTGCTGTTGTAGACCCAATAGGGGTTATATAGGGATAATGGAAAAGAAAATGGAAACTACTATATTATAATAGGGTATATATTGGGGTTATATTGGCACACAAAGTTCTGACCCTACTGTTGGCACAGACATGTCCGAAATCTGACAGAACTTGTTGTCCATCAGTCATGTCTGCAGACTGCTGGCATCACTTTTGTGTCAAATGTGCACAGGTATTCCAAGTACAAGAAAAGAGCAGAGCAAGCCGCAGCGCCTGAGAAACGATGGCATCATGCGTCCGCGTCTTGTCTACACAAGGGTCCTAATCTGTTTGAATGGCTGCCTTATACGACTTAAAACTTGCCAGCGTGTCGGGCTCTGTGCTGAGCATGAGGTCAACAGCCCGATTGCTTCATTAGTACCTTGAATGCATGTATTAGGAGAGATGCCAGGTGGTCGTCTTGTGTCTTCTAAGCAACAAATGCCTGCAGGTTAGCAGCAACAAAGGTGTCACATCAGTCATGGCAGCTGCCACCATCCTAAATAGCAGTTTCTATTTTCGTTTCCATTATCCCCATATATCCCCTGTGTTACCCCTATATCACTATATAACCCGTCTCTCAAAGAATGGTCCCTTCAGCAGGCATTCGGCTATCACCGAAGAAAGGCTGGAATAGCCGAAACTTTTTTCGCACGGGGCATATCGAATACGTTTGCGGCACCCGCTGGAATTTGGGGGAATTGAAGGTCCTGGAACACTCAGAGCAGGGGTGTACAGCAATGTTCAGGGTATTCCTGGAATCTGAATTTGGATCAGAGAAAGCTTGCTGCCGCTGTCGCTGCATTCCGACTCTCTCATTGTGCCAGGACGTGCTTGGCACCCAATTGCGTAGCTACACAACATGCAGTTGGAGAGGAACAGTTGGCAACCTAGCCGGCACACCAACTACCTTTTAACTTGGATTTGAGGTATGGAAATGCTGATGCAGCCATGTTGCCTGCACTGCACATCATGACACAGCTTTATCGGTCAACTCCGTCTCACGCTTCACTGTCAGCTGCGTGGGCGTGAGCAGCTCCTGGCGGGAAGGTAGGCTGCCCTGGGGTGGGAGTAACCACAAAATCTAGCCAGAGAAGAACCATACGGAAAGCCGAGGGAGGTTGTGTCAGCACGTGGAGCCAGCCTAAAGCTCAGGCAGAACGGAATTTGCTGCGTTCTTTCTAAGCACTGCATGCAAGCCCAGACGTGGAATGGGCCAACAGTCTGCAGCATGGACCACTCGTCATATACTGCTAGACGTAGCATGAAGGGCTCGCATCAGACGGCGCCTTTTTTTAAATACAGTAGTTTCCATTTTATTTTCCATTATCCTTATATACCCCCAATAGACTATAGTAGTCTCCATTTTATTTTCCATTTTCCATTATCCAAATGGCCATTCGTAGCTTTACGACTCAGATGGCAGAGGCGGCCGCACCAAAACGAAGGGCGCGCAGTTCGCCACTCCCCCGGTGGCACCCATGGAACCCAGACCCAGCAGAATACCAGGAGCAACCTCGCGCAGCTCGTCTCGCATGAAGAGGACGCGACCCCACAGCAGGTCCCCATGCCTGGGCTCTCAAGGAAAATCAAAGAAAATCGGCTCCTGGAAATCTAATTTCTCAACCTTTACCTGCAGCCTTCGCTTGTACCAGGCCCAGTCTGTGCACCTAATTACATGTGAAACCTGATCAGTCTTACTCAAACTAGTATATATATACCAACACCACTACCACGACGACCACCACAACCACCACCACGACGACCACCACAACCACAACAGCGACGATTTGGGAGGGGGCGGGTTGTGCTAAGGGGTTAAAGTTTCATGATCATGTCGTGTTACTGAATTGGCATGTCTCTTGAAGGTTTCAATGGGTAGTTTGTTGTGGGCCAGGGTTTGTCGAGTTTTGGTGAAGAAAGGGTTCGAGATTTTGGCTTTATGGCTTGGGATCTGACGTAAGCCGCAAGCAGACGAGGCAGCGGTGGCAACAACGACCACGTACTACTTTTGCCTTCGGCAATGACAACCATGACAAGACAAGCAAGACTATGACCAAGACCACAACCGCTGTAACGACCAAGGCAAAGGTGACGTCTACAATTACGATGATGTCAATATTTGCTCTTGTGAGCCTGGAACAGATGGCATGTGGGTGGTCATCATGAGCCTTCTAGATTCTTCTAGGAGGTCAGTCACGGACGAATCATGTGACAGACATTACGGTCACCATTCTGCCGGGTGCAGCATGGTAGCTTGGGATCGCTGTAGTCCAAGATCAGTGCCTTTTTACGGTCCAGGTGGGAAGCTGCCACAGTAGCAGTAAAGCCGCGGCTCTCAAAGTCACTTCCTCTGGCAGCTAACAGGGAATGAAGGAATGGCAAATGCCAAACAGCATCCAATAACCCCAAGACCTCCCTTCTCTGCACTCCCTAGCACCGAGCCGTAAGTCCTGCATCTCCGAATCGGTTTCGGCCAACACGGCCACGCTTTTCAAATGTTTTACCGCGCCACTTAGCAAAGGGCCCAAATAGGACGTTCGTTATGAAAGCAGTCATAGGGGCAAGAACTCCCAGAGACAGCAGATAGCCATCATGACTTGTGTCTTGGTAAGTTGCAGGCACAGAACCTGTGCGCCAGGCAGCCACAAAGTCTGCCTTTGTCTTCAATGCAAACACATCGTCCAGGGCTTTTATCTTTGGAGCCTTGTGGTTGGCGCTTCCATTTTGCGCAACATTCGTCGCTACCAGCAGTGCAAGAGTTGCCACAGCAGCGGGCAGGACAACAAGCATTGCTGGCCAACTTTCCGCATCAACTAGAACCTAAATGACTTTGCTACGCTGCTGGTGCTAGTTTGGGAACATGAGGGTTTAGGGGTAGCCGCTGTGGGTTCAGAGTTTAGGGTTTTGGGGCTTTGGGTGTATGATGCTGACTCGTGTTCACTTTCCATCCCCTGCACGTTCACGTGATTGCTAGGCTTGATGCTGGCTTGAGCCTGACACTGCTGAAGTCGTCGCCCAGCCTAATACATGTACGAATAATAATACAGAGGCAATAGAAATAATAGTGATCACAATATCATTACAAGTAATACGGGTGATAACAAAGGTAATATTAATACCAATAGAAATCAGAACACTACTAGTAGTAGTAGTAGTAATAGTCTATGTAATAGTAATAATATTAATAGTGATAATAGTTTCTGCCATGATGTTGGAGCTAATGCTAGCTCCTTGAGCGACGGCACAAGCGACATAATGGTGCCGATCTCTGCCTTGGGCAGCATTTCCAAAATCGTGCCGCGCCAGCTTCGGCCCCCAGGGAAGATGCAAAATCTAAGGCGCCAGCACTTTTGTCAGCGAGGATGCTGATCACGAGCATCTCCATGCCAATCTGAATCAAGCAAAGCGAAGCAGGTTGTTGAAGCAACGGAAGCCAGATCAAATTCCTCTTGCAAAACCACGTTTGAACATCAAATGTTTCTTGCCATTCAGATGCACACACATGAACCGGGTGCCTGGCAGTTGTTCAAAAGCCCTATTCTGAAATGGCCAGCATTGAAACAATATCCCCTGGCACTGCCAAGATCCTGGGGAAGTATTGTCACCGTGAACCTTGATGTAACTCCTATGAGTCTAGGAGTCCTACACCTGGCACCCCTACCTCCATGAGCAGGCCTAGCACACTTCAAGCCATCCCTGTATACACTGTCCAATTCGTTTTTCTTTGCGTTCAATCTGCATATCATCTTCTGCAAGAGGCAACGTAATCCCAGACTGAAGCCAACAGCGCAAACTTCGCAATCGCAAGCCCACACTCAACGGCACAAAACACTCAGAATTCATGAGCCCTGGACTCTACACTCTACACCCCTAAACCGCTGCAACTGCCACAAATCCAAAGCAAAACAAGAAAAGCCCTGAACCGCAAACCCTAAGTCCCGCCTGAAGCACATAGCATCTGTCATAGCTCAACAGAACACTCTGGGTCTTGGCCAGGGATTGCCACAGGTTTGGGCTTCAGCTTTAGGTGATAGACATTGGGGTCTAGGAGGCGCGCAGGGTCTGGGTCCTGCGCTTAGACTTCCTGCCTCAGGGAATAAGCCTCATTCAGGCTTGAGGCTTTACAGTTCGGGCATCCGGGTTGGGGTTTGATGGTCCCAGGTTTCAGGTCCGCGTCTTCAGGACTAGGTTCCAGCTGGGAGATGTAGCATGTAGGGGTTTGGATTTGAGGCTTTTTCATGTTTAGGGTTGCGGGTGTAAGGTCCCAGGGTATCAGGCCAAGGTTAAGGGCTGCATGCCTGGGGATGTTTGGCCTAAAGGATTGAGGTGTGAAGGTTATGGTTTGGGGGCTTGGGGTTGGGGTTGAGGTCTTGCGCTTTGAGAATGTAGGATGAGAGGTTTAGGGAACTGCAGGCTCGTTAGGGACAAGTCTTTTCCGGCTGAGGTTTCAATTTTGAGGGTTGAAGGTTTCAAACTTTGCGTTTCAGGTCTCGTTCCAAAGGTCTTAAGATTTTAGATTTCTGTTCAAAGGTGCAATGAGAAGACTGCTACAAATTACCAATACTCCTTCCATCACGATAAATATTGAGTTCGTCATGGCCGAACATCAGTACTTTCGTTTTCAGGTAGGGGGCATGCGCAGGCAAAAACATGTACCAACACCTGGGCTTGCGGCCTTGCCAAGTCCGGCCACTTTCTCACTCTGCTGTGCAGTTTGCGAGAAGATGGTCGTGATGATAGATCTTAGTGTTTCCCACTTGCAAGACAAGTGACATGTGAGGGAACCGGTCTGTGAAGAAGAAAAACCGCACACAAAAAAAAAAAAGAGTAGACAGCCGAGCACATACGGGATAAAACAAACAGTCATGGACCTGCTTCAACAAGGAACATGAACATGAGTCTCTTCGTAATTCCGCTGAGATGCGTGGCAGCAGGATCGTGGTCGGCATT